AGGAATACTTTGGGCCCAAGGAAATTAAATAAAAAAATAGAATCCTATTTTGATTCTATTTTAAATACAAAAGGTATTTTTTTTTAAATATATTTAGCAAACTCCCTTATCTGCTGTCGAGGTTTTAGCACACTCGTCCACAGGGAAACTTTTTGCACCTTCTTTAAGTGCGTCAAAGTTGGTGTGTTTGCATAAAAACACGTGCCACTGCATAGTTTACCAGCAGCTTTCGCATCCAGCCGCTGATGAGGTTTCTGTGTTGTCCGCAGAAGATTTTCGGTGCAGAGATGCGCTCGGTGCCACCTGGGAATCTCGGCCTCGGAGATGGTGATGCGAGCTCGGGACCTGGTCTACCACCTCAACTGCTTCACCTGCACTACCTGCAGCAAGATGCTCACCACCGGGGACCACTTTGGCATGAAAGACAGTCTGGTGTACTGTCGGCTGCACTTTGAGACTCTCATCCAGGGAGAATATGAGACACATTTTAACCACGCGGACGTGGTGCCGCACAAAGGCCTGGGCCCGGCCAACACGCTCGGACTATCCTACTTCAGCAGCGTGGGGACGGTGCAGAAAGGAAGGCCGAGGAAGAGGAAAAGTCCTGGGCCAGGGGCCGAGCTGGCTGCTTATAATGCAGGTAAAATAAATGCAAGCGAAAGAAAAAAAAGATCGAAATTATATTGAAAACGTGATATAGTTGTAATTTGCGTTTGTTCCTTTTTATTTATTTAACGCCAAGTTTTGCCTGAATCGTTTTAGACCTTTAAAGAAATTTAAGAAACAGTTCTTTGAGCTTTTGTCCAAAGTGGAGATCAAGAGCCACGAAGCGTGGAGGGAGCTGACTGAAGCTGACAGACTTCATTAATGAAAAATGTTTTTGTAACATTCCTTTAGAGATTTTTCCTGCGCTGTGGCGTCCTCAGTGACGCATAAAACTTATTCGATATTTAAAACAACATCTTTGTTGCTTTAATATCTCCATTTACAGTTCACTGTAACTTCAAACTGAGATATCAGAAGATTTAACCCCGTCCTGGTGTCTCTGTAATATTTTAACACCGAATTGTGCGTAATAGTGTGCGTAATAGTGTGCGTAATAGTGAGCCTTTCCATTTGTTGTGCTTTTTTATATTTTTTTGCGCACTTTCCTGTAACCTCTTCTGGATCACACACACTTTGTGAGTCTGCACATTTTCGGTTCAGTTTTGAAGTAGCAGCAGCGCGTTGGTGTAGACGCTAAACAGCCTGCACGAATAAGCCTGAACTAATAAACAAAGAAAAAGCTCGCGGGCCACGTGTGGGGCCACGAGACAAAAACAGCCACAGGTTACAAAGAAGAAAAGTGCAGAAACAAGTTAGACTTTATTTATAGCAAACAGCCTCAATATGCGGACTGAAATATGTGGACTGGACTTTTCATACAACTCGACACAACTAAATGTTCAGTGCGCGGATGCTAAACTTTTTTTCCTCCCGTGTCCACTTTGTGGAGTGAAAAGAAAAGTTTTTTGATGTGCCGGCTTTTGCTTTCGCTCTTTTCCACTTGTCAGGCTCCATAGACATCTACAGACCCCCCCCCACCACCACCACCAGAACTCCTCACCCACGCACACACCACCTCACCCTACCCCCCAAACCACCTCTCTGTACCCCTCTCGCTCGCGCACACAGGCATACGCACACTGAGTGAGCGTTTTTGTTTTGTTGTATTGGGACCAGGCCAAACTGGGTGTATTTCAGCCAGATCAATGTGTTTTGATGAGTTATTCACTTGAAGAGGGAGCAGGGAGCGCAATAAGTTGCTAACGGCAGCAATATGTGGTTGGACTCTCATCCTTTTCCCATATTCACGTAAAAAAACAAGCCGATTGCAGCTAACATGGTGTTAAAGCCTCGGAGTGATCACACAAGAAGCCTTTTTTTGTTCGGATTTCTTTCCTTAAAACGTAGACGATGAAAAAAATGTGTAAGTTGACATAATTTCACAGAGTGATTGACGTTTAAATGTAAAAAAATGTCAAAAGAAAACACACACACACACACGCACACACACACACACACACACACACACACACACACACACACAGGGTGTCATGATGACGATAAAGGAAGGAAAAGTGATTTCGGTATAAAAACGCTGTGAATTATTTGATCTTTTTCAATGTGGGCATTTAAGAAAAAACGAAGAAAAAGCTCGTGAGTGATGCGAGTGAAGAAGCGATGCGCCCTCTTCTGTTTGCAGCCACACACAACACGAAAGCTTCACCTGAACAGACTCATGAGAGCAGCTCTAACCCTAACCTCGCGCCAGCTCCTACAAACGGCCGTAACTGCGCCGGAAGAGCAGGAGAAGGAAACCGTCCTCAAGCTGCTTTTCTCCTATTTTTTGTAAAAGAAAAAAAAAACGCTACAGCATATGTTTTGGCCAGAAAGCAGCATTTGTTCTGCCTGGTGTGTATCGGCTAATTAAGTGAAGTGTTATTCCGTTGGTTTTCACTCACTTCATATTCATCGTTTGCAGCGTTCTGATATTGAACGCGAACTGTTATGCATGCAGCAACACTTTGAATATTGCCAAGAATTTTGCAGGCTGGGGACAAATACATGTGTGTTGTTGTTACTGTGTGTGTGTGTGTGTGTGTGTGTGCGTGTGCGTGTGTGTGTGAGAGAGAGAGATGGCTGTATCCAGGCTCGCACCTCCTCCTAGGACAGAAAGACACAAACAGACAGACTGGTGTGGTGCACGAGGAGGTGATCTGCAGCTGGAAGAAACAGCTGTTTGGTCACTTTGTATTTCTGTGCAGATTTAAACACAGAATGAAGCGTTTTTGTCGTATTTACAAAGAAATCTGTACAATAATCGAGCTTAGAAAACAATTTTCTTCTTTTTTCTATAGACTTCTTGCTGAATTTAATGTAGATGTTTAAATAAAATAATATGTGAAAAAAATTACAAAATACCCCCCCCCCCCCCCAAATTTGCCACAACAGTTCTGCCAGAGGTCTGTTTCTGTGAAAAGGATTTTGTTTTTCACCAAGTGCTATATAAATAATATTACATTGAACTGAAAGCGCAGGTTTTAAATGCCCAGGCTATTTGAAATATATGTTCACCTCCTTGCTAACAGTATAATACTCTGGGGACATGAGAATTTCATAAACAGCAGCAGAGGAATGAAATGATGACGTTCCAACTCGTCCTAACCCACTGTCCTCCTTTCCCTGTCGACATGAAGCGCTGAGCTGCAACGAGAACGACGGCGAATCCATGGACAGGGACTCCCAGTACAGCTCCAGTCAGAAGACCAAGCGCATGCGGACGTCCTTCAAGCATCACCAGCTGAGGACCATGAAGTCCTACTTTGCCATCAACCACAACCCAGACGCCAAGGACCTCAAGCAGCTTGCCCAGAAAACTGGCCTCACCAAGCGGGTCTTACAGGTAGCGCCAGCAGCCTCTCACTTCTCGACCACAGTTCACTTTTTTGTTAGTAAAAGTAGCCAACGGGGGGACGTTTCCAGTGATAACCAATGGTGATATAAATGAAGTGGTGTTTTACAGTTAGGAGCCAAAGCAGCTGCTTTATTTGATGATTTTGCTGTTTTTCATCTCAAGTTCTTGGATGACTTTTAGGAAACAAGTAAAACAAAATCAGAATTGGATTCCGTTACTTTGTTTCTGTTTTCTTTTCTCGTTTTCATAACAGCAGAAGCAGAATTTCTAATTGCCTTCAGGAAAAACAGACTCAATATTTCTGTTCATGCTGGAAACCAAAATTACCTGGAAATCAAAGAGAAACGTTAAAAAAAAAAATGAAACGTAATATAACTCAGTGGATGATGTGATGTTGTGGTGATGAGTGAGGGATGAAAAGCAAGAAGCTCTGTAATACATGCAAAGAAAGCGACGACACAACAGAGCATTTGATTTCCACAAAAGACGACAGCAAATTATCTGGGGTACTGAGAAGAAGAAAAATAAGACAAAAAGGTTTCTAAATCAAAATTTTACTGAGAAGGAAGAAAAAAAACATCCCGCCGCTTTAATTAACGCTCACAGAAAACAAAGCAGTCGTTTTGCTTTGATGCGTTCGAGTTTTCATGTCTGTTACTTCAGCTGAAGCGACTCTCTAGCCGCCGATTCCCATGGCTCCGTCATGATTCCATCACTAACACTTCCCAGCACTCAGCTCGGCTGCTGCCTCGTTCACAAATCACACAACACACTTTATTACTGGGAAAGGGGGGGAATTGTTTTTTTCAAAACCCTGCCAATTAATTGAAATTTCCGGGGCAAAAAAGGAGGTTTTTGTTTAAAAAATAAGGATATCGTTGATCTTATTGCAAATGTGTAAAATCATAACTGCATTTCTTTCTGCAAACACTGTAAATAGGACCCATGTTGCTTTCTCCCAGGGTCAATGAAAGCAGGAGGACGTTGCTCTCGATTTTCATGTGCAAGCATAATAAAAGAAATGTCTTAATTTCTTTTGTGTGAATAGCCATGAAAAGTAAAGGCTTTTATAGCTTTCACACACAGAGGACGAGCGCTCAGGCTTTGTGTTTCCAAGTCTTCTTTTATCTTCGTCTCCAGTCACAACATCTGCAAACAGACTTTAAAGAGACACAAAGAGATGCTCGCGAGATACTGGAGATAATATGGGTGTTCTTGAGATTCAGTGACATCACAAGCCGCGTTATATTCTGATATATTTACATTTTTGAAATATATTTAGTCCCCATGAGATACACGTCTGTGACAGTTTCTACATTTGTCTCAGGTTTAGCTGTGGAGAGGTTTTGGTCTTAGTCGAAGAAAAACTGTGAAATGTGTTCAGTTAAAAAGTTAAAATGTTCATACTTACACACTAATTTGATCGATTCACTTAGTCAATTTGATACGACTAATGCAGAGGTAACATTTAAAGTCATTTAAAGTTAGTTTCAGATATTTAAACTACTTTCAGCTGAAACACGTTTTGTTCTTTAGCTGATAAAGTCAAGCAAACAATTATGTAATGAATTATTATTTGTCTGTGTCCGTCTTGTGATTGACCCTTTTGCCGTTTCTTTGCTCCTGACTCAACCGTGTGTTCTGGAAACACGAGCATGTGTTAGTTACCTCTCAGCTGATACCTCACAACTAGCCAGTTTCCAACACAAGAGGCTGAAACCCCTGAGAGGGGTTTCCCCAGCGTTCAGGCAGCCATAGGTCTCCTTTTATTTTACTAGAGCATCAAAATTAGCTGCGAGACCTGGCTGGGATACAGTAGGTAATCCATCAGCATGAGTATCACGTCCTCTTTTTATTAGTGTCGGTGCTGTGTGGTGAGGCAGCTGAAGAGCCTGAACTGTATTAGCTGCTGTAGGAAGTGACAAGACGGAGAGAAGAAATCATGTTCGGTGTGTTCACAGTGACGCAGTACATTTGGTTAGAAATCCAGTTTACATACAGACTGTTAAAGGAGCGGGCTGGCATTTATGTAGCAGTCTGCAGAAAAGTGTGTGACCAACAGCAAACATAATGCATGAATGTAGTGAAAATGTTGGAGACAGGAGTTCCCGGTTAATCGAACAGAGGAACATATTAAAATCTATCTTTAGTGGTGTGCAGACTTTGAGCCCAATATGCTGGAAGTGCTCACACCACTGAAAATTACATTTCAGCACCAAAACAAACATATGAGGAATTATTTTACTGAAGGAAATGTTTCCAAATAAAAAAATGTTGTTTATATTTCAAAACCTGGACCCAAGAAAGCCAAAGCATCTGCACACTCAGGAATGACCAGATAGGTTGAACTGAAAGTCCTGTAATAATGTAATAATAATGTTTTTCTGCATGAATGTTACTTCTTTGTGATATCAAACACGCGTGGGTTTGTTTTGGTATTTAGACGTGTACTGACACATCATCCTTCTGCAGGTGTGGTTCCAAAACGCTCGGGCCAAATTCAGGAGGAACCTGCTGCGGCAGGAGAGCACCGGGGTCGACAAGGCGTCCGACGGCTCGACGCTGCAGGGTGGTACGCCGTCAGGCCCGGCCTCTGAGATCTCCAACGCCTCCATGAGTCCCTCCAGCACACCCACCACCCTTACGGACTTGACCAACCCCACCATGCCCACTGTCACCTCTGTGCTCACCTCCGTGCCGGGTAGCATGGACGTCCACGAGTGCCGGAGCCCATCACAGACCACGCTGACCAGCCTCTTCTGATAGATGGAGCCCTTCTTCACAGCCCCCTCTCCCCTGCCCTCCCCGGCCCCCTCCCTTAGCTCCCCCCCTGCTCACCTCTGCTCCTTGTGGATCTACAATTAAGCATGGTTCACTCCTTGGAACATTTAACGGATTAGAAAACAAAAGGAAGCAAACTGAAAAGGTTTCCTTTAGAGACTGTTTGATTAGTGAGGTGGCTGAGCCTTACACACCCAACATTTGTTGTTATTTTGATGTTGTCTTGTTGAGAACTGAGGAGACTTGATTTGCATTTTTCAATGTTTACAGAGAGAGACTGAAACTGGTCAAAAAAAATTTGGAATATTGTTTTTTCCAGCACAGTATTTATGTTATATTGTACAAGAGTCACTGTTAGAAGGATTGTAAAAATCGTTTCTTTCTTTCTTTCTTTCTTTCGTTCGTTCGTTTCTTTTGTTTTGGAAATCTGAGATTAAACACAGGTTACAATATCCTATGACTGCCACGTGCCTTACGGTCCACTTATCTTAACTGCTGTTTCTAAAAGTCGGTCACACGTGAGTGATTTGCATCAGAACAAAGCAGTATGACTGAATTAACTCGACTCCTTGTGCGCATTTATGTATGTGTGTGAGTTCTGGCTCGTTCCTCTTTGTGTTTGTGTGAACGTGCAGTAAAGCCCATTCGGCTGCACTTTAATTTAAAAGAAAAAGGCGAGAGGCAAATAATTCTTGTTTTTGATCTCAACTCTTTTGAATCTTCTTCACTCAAACTCGGCTAAAAAGCTGTTGTTCAAAGTCTCCACTTTTAGTTTAATGCACTGGCGGCCCAATGCAGATCAGTTCATGATAATAAACCTCGCCAAATGATGCGATCGATTGCATTAACATCCACCAGGTTACTGAGACCCGCCCCTTCCTTTTTACTTTTCACTTCTCTGGAACAAACACAAAGCTTTTAATAGGAAAAAGATGGAATGGCAACATTAATGTATGAGAAATGATCTGAGCAGCAACATTGTTACTAGTTACTAGTTTAGTTTCTTAAAATTTGATGATTTAGCAGGTGACTAACCCTGGATAGGTTGCCAGTAACCTGGTGGATGTCAAAGGTTAAGTTCAGATTAAACATGAACTTGTGAACTTAAACGTGGCTTTAAAGACACTGTGTTCTGTTGTTAAGATATTCAGTGACTTTAACAGTCGTATAGACGTGTCAAATTTCAAGTTGAAGTGATGAAACACACAATTAAATATTTTAAAAACGCCTCTTGATCTTCCTTTAAACACAGCGAGGATACAGATTTGAAGAACTGCTTTCAGTCGAATCTTTCATGTTATATATTTGTTGCATGAGACCTGCTGCGTCCAGCTGTGAGGTATCATAACAAACATCAAGTATCCTGCTTCATGTTTGATTTATAGTACTGTGTTAAATCTATACTGTGTCCTATATGCCATGACAGACATTGTACGTTGATGTGCACCTTCCCAAAAATGCTACAGCGATGCACCTCAGCGGCTCTGATATGTGGGGAAGTATTACGCCATGTAAAGAAAAAGGAAAGTGCCTCCGTGAACCAAACACGAGCTGTAGCTGGATCTAGTTGATGCACAGTGATCTGCCAGTCAGGCTGTTTTTCTGTTTTCATAGCTCTGCTTATATGTGTTTGAATCTATCAAAGTAACTGTTCAGTATTTATTACTTTCAAGCCCAAAATGAGTAACTTAGTGTCACTTATGATGGCAGAGCGCAAACAGCTGTTCACTACGGCGTAGATGTTACGGGGGATTCAACGCAGTACTATAAGTTTTTGATTACGCCAATGCGGATGTTTAAAATAACTTTTATGGGATCAGATTACGTTGGTCAAAGGAATTCACAATATCGATTTCACCAGGACGGCATCAGGAGCAACATGAGTCAGGTTCAAAGCCTTTTTAGGAAATTCATTCAAGCACATGTGCTCGTTGTGCGATTATTTAGGATGTCCTTATTACACAGTACAGATCCTTCATTTTAAACTATAGTTTTTACCAATAAACAGCTGGCAATAAACAGTGAAAATAATGAAATTTTGGGGGTTAAACTGTAAAGGTGTGTGTGTGTGTGTGTGTGTGAGATGGAAATATATATGCTGTGAATGGGGGAGAGCTGTCGCTGCTGCGTGTGGACGCGGTGATGTGTCCCAGGCTGCTGTAACAAACCTCACTGAGCTCTTCATGTTGTGCTGCTCCTGCACATTCTTGTACACGTCACTGTTGTCCTCGGTTTTGTGAGAAATATAAACACTATCGATAATAAGACTTGTCTGTTGGAAGAGAGTTTGTGCGAGTGTTCTGCACGTGTACATGTCGTATTCATTCAGA